GTCCCAATGAAAAAATTTTTTTTTTTTATAATACAAACTCTCAAACCGCTTGCTTTACTTTCTTTTGGTGTTGGGACACCCCCTTAACCACCCCACCCCTTTTCCCCCACCAAAACCCTTCCGGGCCGGAACCCCCTTTAACCATTTCCCCCCCTTTTCCTTCCCCCCCCCCCCCCCCCCCCCTTTACCACCCCCTATCACCCCTATCACCATCATCAGATTAATCAGAGCTGTACAGGGCGCAGAGCCGGCTGTTCAATCCCATGAATTCAAAGAGATGCACATGACATCGCATGAGGTCACATTTAGACTGGCCGGCGGGACTATGAATTTCACATTTGATCTCATTTGATCTGGTTGTATACATTTTGTATGGCAATTTGGCCCAGGGTTGTGGTGTGATAGAGGTGAACAGGGGATAATCCCACACAGGAGTTTTGAACAACATCTGGTTCACATTTGGCTGGATAACTCCACCACCACATGGGGTATGCGGTCGGCGATGGGGTCAAAATGCTTGTATGATTGAGGGCTTTTCGATGGATCTATCAGCGGGTTCTTATTCGAAAAATTGAGCGAGTTCGTGGTGGAGCGGTTGAGTTCTAGTATAAGATTATGTAAGTTCTGTAAGTGATCTAGTAATATCTGAGAAGTTTCATATAAATCATCAATAGAAGTTAGTAAATTCAATAAAGCTTTATACATCTTTCACAGTGTATGAAGTCTTTCATTCAAGAATAGCAGAGATCTTCTCAGAATTTATTCAGATTTTCTTATCAGCTTCTATGATAAAATCTAGATATTTTATACTTTTAACTTTAAAATTATACTTATCTATATCTATTAGTAGTTCTGCTTCTTATAGTTATTATAATACTCTTCACACATGTTCTTGATATTCTTTTCTGAACTCATCAGTAAAGATGAGAATGTTATCAAGATAGATAGATACAAACTTATTAAGAAAATCTCAAAGTGCTCAGTTGATATACTTCTGAAATATACTAAGAGTATTAGTTAATTTAAAAGATGTAACTACTCATTCAAAGAGATTATATTATGTTCAGAATGCTGTAAGTCACTCATCTTCTTCAGTAATACAGATCTTATAAAAAGCAGTGAGAATATCTAGTTTTATAAATCATTAAGCTTATTTGATATGTGCTAGAGTTTTATTAATAAGAGATAAAGAATAGTAATCTTTCTTTATTAATCTATTCAGTTCTTAATAGTTCACACAGAATCAGAGTTCTCTATCTGATTTCTTTATAAAGAGAATAGAAGCTGCAGTAGAAGAGTTACTAATATATATAAATTCTTTATTTAACAGATTATTGAGTGTCTTTCAAAGAAGAAGAAGTTTATCTCAGAATATAGTATAAAGAGAGTCTCACAGTAATTCAGAATTCTTATTATTTTTCTCTTTCAACTTGATACTGTAATTTACTTCTGAATCTTATAGAGAGAGTAGATTAATAATATTATCTTATTAAAAGATATCTAGATATTCATAATATTATTAAAAGAGTTTTGTATAAGAATCTGTTATTAAAATACAGAATAACTTCTCTAGAGCTTTTTTAATATTAATTAGACTGATAAAGTAGATTACTATATAATTCTACTATCAGTGATCTTATCAGTGACTTCATTAGAAGTTCTTTCAGAGTATTTCATAAGTATTGACAGAGATCTGTGTTAGATTTATAGTCTTGTAAATATTATTCTCATGAATCTGATTATTATTGAGAAATATTAAACTTCTGTTTTAAGCATCTAATAGAATACCTTGTTCAGATAATTAAACAAGTTCTAGTATAAGATTATAATCAAGATTATTAACTTCATATGTATAAGTATTCTTACATTGATATTTTCTGATATCTATGTTAAGTTTTATTATATAACAGATGTAAATAGACTGGCCGCCGGGACCATGAATTTCACATTTGATTTCATTTGATCTGATCTCATACATTTTCTTGGCGTGAATCCTGCTGGGACTAATCATTAAAAAAAACATGTAAAGTGACTATATATCAGATCTCAAGATGAGACCATGACTCAGAAAAAAAAAAGAAAGTGAACTCATTTGATCTCATTTAGTCTCATTCTTAGCATAAAGTTACTATTTTAGACATTTAAGGTTTTTTTTAGACTATTTTAATTTTTAAAAAGTAACACTTTTTGATAATACTTAAATGAGATTAAAGTTATTTAAAGTAATAAAAATAATTTAAATTGAGAAGTGGAAATCATGATCTCATTTGAAAAATGTGATAAGAGTAGATAGTAAGTCTCACTGAGACAGTATGAGACTACTATTGAATATTAAAACTGTGTAATGAGATTGATCAAATTGATAATGAGACTTTCAAAAAATCTGGTCCTGATTTCAGACACAGTCACACAGTCAGTCTAGTCACTTTGCATGTTTTTTTAATAACTAGTTTCAGTGGGATTCACACCAAGAAATGTATGAGATCAGATCAAATGAGATCAAATGTGAAATTCATGATCTCAGCAGTCAGTCTATGTATAGATATCTTCATATTGATATTCTCTAACATCTATATTTAGTTTCATTATATAACAGATATAAATATCTTTTGAATCATTAAATTCTACAAGAAGTCAGAGTTTTAATAAGAGAATACACTGAAGATTATAATATCTTATACTGAAGATTTAATCATTGCATAATAATATAAACTGCTGTCTATCATAGCTTTCATATTATATATATTATCTATCACAGTAGATACAAGAATCACATTCATTATTATTTTCTCTTTAAATTATTATTATCTGATCTCTTCAAGCTTCTGTTTATGAATTTGAACAGAAGCTAATCTTTTCCCTGTTTCATCAGAGTATTCTTATAGTTATCTTTTAAATCTTCTTTCAATGCAATGTGATTAATACAGACAGACACTAATTCATTCTTTAAGTGAGAAGACACTGATCTTTCTCTTAAGTGAGAAGATATATAGATTAATTAACAGTTGAAAGTAATGTATTCTAATCAGTTACAGTTAATACACACTTCTTATTAATGTTAATCGGTAACTTCTTTAAAGATAATCTCAGAGACTCAGAAGCCTGTTCAGACAGTGAAAACTCTTGCTTATATATAGATATTTGAGTCTACTCAGTTCATAGTATCTGTATTATTATTGTTATTTCTCAGCACAGATGTATAAGTGACTGAGTTATTTCTCAGCACAGATATATAAGTGTAATATCTTCTATCACTGTTCTGTATACTCTTGAGCTTGATAAGACAGTCATTCAATGTTCAGAGTTGTATACAGAAATCTTTATAAGTCTGGTCTTTGTCTACACTTATAAGAGCCTGTAAGAGTTTGAAAGTTAATATCTTCTTAAGCATACTAATCTTCATTCAATTCTTTCAAGATTGATTATCTACTTCTAGAATCTTGATATCAAAGTCAGAAATAAATGTTATAAGAGAAGTGTTTCTCTGTCAAGTACTCTGTAATCAATCTAATACTTTCTATTGTATAGCAGTGTCTCAGAACAGAATATTAAGATGTTTAATAATATTATCAGATATTTATAATACTGATTCACATGCTTTTATTATTATTATTCTTCAATTATACATGTATACAGTCAGAGACTATGACATCTACCTGAGAACTTTTAGTTCTCAGGGTTTTTCCTATGTCTGTAAAGTTAACTATTATACATTCATCAATTTCAGATATGCAAAATCAGAAAATTCCAGCTCAGAATACAAAAACTGTTTACAAATTACAGTGTTTTAACATCTTTTGATACTTTGAAACCATTTGATAATATCATGACAAAGGAAAAGAGAAAAAGAACACAGTCTCAAAGATAGACACATTAAATAGATAGATAGAAAGAAATTGAAAGAAAAAGATAAAGAAAAAGATAAAGTAAAGAGAGACTATAACAAAACAAATTATTAAAAGAGAGTGTATAGCTGTTTTAACAGACTATATCTGATTGATTTCCTCCTCTTCATATTCAGATAATTCTGAATTTAGTCATTTTCTTGTAGCTGCTTGGGATTCTGATAGAAAGTCTATTAAGTATTTAATTCCTGTCTCAGTTGAGAATAAGAATCTTATATTTAATTGATTTAAATCATACTTCTCTTTCAATCTGACTCTGAGACTATTGTATAATGCACAGTGCATTACAATATACTCAGAATTCTCATTTATATTGCAGAATGAGCATTCTATTAAGTTAAATCTATCATCAAATCTTTGTATATAAGATTTGAAATAGCCATATCCTAGTTTCAGCTGTATTATAGATGAGAATATTTTCTTTTTACATTTAATTGAACAAGATTTCCACTGGGGTTTTGTTTCAAATCTTGAATAATGTATACTCTTCTTTTGTTTCTACCAGCTTTCATTCTACTTGTTTAAACAAGATTCTTTTATTTTTCTCTTTATAAAAGACCAGGACATAATTTTTTGAATAGATCTGCTTAATTCTGCACTCTTTTTTGCAGCTGAATCAGCCAATTCATTGTCATGAATATTCATATGAGCAGGAACTCAGTGCAGATGAATTATCAGCTTTGATATTCTTCTCTTTTGAATTTTCAAAATAGAGTTTAAGATCAGTTCAAGATTCATTTGATCATTATGAATCTGACTATTTCTAAGTCTTTTTAAAGCAGCTTGACTATCAGAGAATATCCATGTCTCTTTCAAACAATTTCCTCTTTTATGAGATTTTATTTCAATGAGTTTGAAAGCTTTCACTATTGCAAATAGTTCAGCATCAAAGACTTCATATTCAGAGCCTAGATTTCAGAAATCTGAGATAAAATTGATATTATCTTCAGTATAAGCAATTCCTGCGCCTAATCTATTCAATTTCTC